CGCAAATCAATTCAAACAATACTTACGATCGTTGAAAGCGGCCATTCGTTTGGCATCGGGTGAACCTCTTCCTCCTCCTGAACATTGGGAGCAATGATAAGACATTATTAACACAATTGGTGTCAATGGATATCATCTGTGATAAGATCTACTATCAAACGCTACTCATTGAATGGGAGTTAGTGTTAGCGAACTCCTATCTATCGTTTAATGTCTTGCATTCACTTAACCATTAATTCTTAGACATAATTAACAGTAATATACGAGTAATGCAACAAACGATGTATGGATTCAATGGTGTCATCACTACATGTATGATACATACCGTCATCGTGTGGTCTTTTGCTGGAAGACATACCACCGCCGGGAGGGCCGCCGCCATTGCCACCGCCGCCACCACCACCACCAGACGGGGGACCACCAGAACCGGGCGCCTCTCGACTGATCTTCGCCGCCAACTACTCAGTGAAAGACAATCAAAGATAATTAGTACGAGAGTTGGGGGTGTCGTGAGTGGGGGTCACACCTGTCGGGCGCGTTGGAGCGCCTCCTGAAAGGCCTGGTTAGAGATGGCCGACCCATTGCTGTCCATCTTTTCACGACTATTCACTCGACGATTGCTATCGGTTTGAGTGATAAATAACTGATGCCTTTGAATACAATGAGTGGTTGTCTGGGATTGAGTGACAATCAGTTAATTACAATCAAATCAAATGTGAAATCAATTGAGCACTCAATCAATGCTCGCAATGACTGTCTATCGCTATGGAGTTGCACACAACCAATAGCACTCACAAATGCAGTATTTATAGACCCCCGATAACCTTATTTCTATTACATTTGCACAGCACTTCACACCCATAGTTGGTTATGTTGTTTGTGAACGTTTCCAATAAAGCATTGTCTGGCAATTGGAGGCGAACTGAATGCAAGCAAATGAAAAACGTTTGGCAAAAACGAGTGACACGTTATGTGTGGACGTAATTGATGTGTGAATTATTGCTTTAAAATACTGTATGTTTTGAAAAGCAATGTTTAAATAAATTGTGAAATGTTTTAAACTCTATTTAAATAACCACTGGATTTAGGACTCAATGTAAGCATTGATTGTATTTATTAGACAACACTTTATAAGCCATTGCTATGAATACCGGTCTCACGGGTGACAGACATGACTGCAATCCAGTCTAATGTGTGGCTCTGTTTGACCGACAAATGCCATAACATATCATATTTGATCCCAAATGTCATTTCAATTATAATTAGATGTTTATATAGTTTTAATCAAATTATATGTCATTATAGTTATAATCTTATGTTAAAACTTATTATGTGTATAACAGCCTCCAAATGGTATACAACTCGTTATATTTACCTTAAATTCATTGCATTTTGCGGTTACTGTTATTTTACAGTTATTTTTGCTACTTTTATATGATTTTAATTACAAGTTTGGGAAATTATATTCAATGCTATATTTAATCAAAAGTCTAAAAATGTGATTTTGATTTTCATAATTTTTTTTAAATATAAATGCTTTGTTTTGTTTTTTGCATCTAATCTACTAATTTAAAGTTTACATTATGTATTGATTACCGATAAGTGTTTAGACACTTGACTACACTTAACAGTATTTACACATTTACGGTATAATGAGTGTATGAAAAAAGCATGATTATGATTATATTAAACACATTTATTAAGTTATTATTAGCTAATAATCGGACGATTAATTTCTATGACTTGTTAGAGACTTTGAGATTAGTATGTGATTTGAACTTAACATAACCGCATATACGATAGACTTTGATATGATATAAAATTAACGTAATATTAAACGACAAGTTTATGTGACAGACAGTGCGATAAATATAAATA